ACGGACCGGACCGGACGACGTCGTCGCCCTCCCCCCCCCCCCCCCTCCCCAGCCAGCCAGCCGACCACCACTTTACGACCCATCACCAGACTTGGGTGTGGGTGGGTGCGTGTGTGTTTTGCCTTGTGGTTGGACGATATGGACGAGGAGTTGGCATGTACAGAGCGGAAACTTGTGCGGCGGGTGGTGTCGCGGCTGAGCAAGGGTGACCTTGTGGGCGTCTTTCTGGACTGGGGTCTGGTTGCCGAGGAGCCAGCGTCATGGCCCTCGCGCCCTGCTCTTATTGACCTGCTTACCACTGGTCATCTGGAGCACCGCATGACATACAGGCAGTACGCCTCGCTCTCGCTGCGTCGCCTGTATTCCAAGGCTCGGACCGGTGCGGCGCCCAAGTGGGGTGCCTACCACCTGGCGGCACGGGCCGGCGCCCTCGCCCCGTCAGCCGAGGTTGATGCTCTCAAGGCTGTCTTGACCAAGGAGCTCTCGGTCTTTTTCAACAACTACGTCCACGTGGAGCAGGCGGCCGACGGCGACGTGTGGATCTTCATCGGCATCTATGAGGGTGTCGACGCCCCGCGTGTCCTACCGCCGCGCTCGCAGACCATGTTCATCATGTGGCGCCCGCACACCTCGCACCTCTTTGCTTCCGAGGTCAAGGTCGCCTACCGTGAGTACATCATGCAGGCGCTGATGCACGCCTTTGCTGCCGACGCTATCGAGCAGGTCCCGGTCCGCGGCGCCAACCTCGAGTCGATCATCAAGCTCACACTCGATGCTGCAGGACTCGGCGTCTGCCGCGCACACACCGCCGGCGTGCCCAATCCGCTGGCGCTGCCGCGGACCCGCATGCATGCAGCGCCGGTCGCACTCGGTGCGCCGCTTCCGGACGCGGTGGTCGAGGATGCGCCCGCGCTTGCCGCCCGGGCGCGCAAGGCCGACGCGACCCTCGGCCCCGACGACGCGCCCGACGTCGAGCAGCTCATCTTTCACGTCAACTCATCGTGGGACGTCTCGGCCCTGCCGCTCAACGCCAACGACGTGCCGGTCCTTCCGTTTGTGGCCCGCGTCTCGCTCGACGGGCCGTCGGTCGTCAACGGCCTCAAGGCTCTCATCCCAGCTGGCATTCTCCACGAACCCCTCCCGCCGTTCTACACCACCATCCTCAACCAGCAGCGGACAGTCTTCCGCCTCGCCGACAGCGATCTCAGCCTCAGTGCCGCCGACGACCGCGACGAGCCGTCGCCCGTCACCTCGCGCGCTGACACGCCGTCGTCACCCTGACGACGACGCCCGTCAATCCACTAAAGTACGATGCATCCTCCACCTCCGCCGGCAGACCGCCGCACCACCGTCACATACTGGCCGTCGTCAGACGACATCAGCTCGTCGTCGGACGAAAACTCCAGCTCGCCGCTGCCCAGCACTCCCGGCGACCGCTGGCCGGAAAACATCGCAATCCGCGAGAGTGGCCGGGAGTCGAGGCCAGAGTCGCCAGGCGGCGTCAGGACGCTCTCGCGCGACGCCGGCCGCGAAGCGCTCAGTGCGTCTCCATCGCCAGCAGCCAGCGCGCCGGGCCCGCGCCCGCTCACGGCGCCCGCGCCCGCTGTTGTCGTCGCCACCAGCACCGCTGTGTCGGACGAGTGCAGTGGCGCCAGACCGCACACATCAAGTACCGCCCCGGCCACGTGACGGACCAGGCGGGCGACGTTGTCACCGGTCGCTGCGCACGTCTCCACATAGTGGCCGCCGATCGACGCCGCAAAGGCGCGGGCCTCGTCAGCCGACACCACCCGGCGGACTGCCAGATCGGACTTGTTTCCGGCAACTAGGACGGCACACGTGCTGATAAATAGGTACGCCTCGTCGAGCCAGTCACCAAGAGCGGCAAACGAGGCGCGGTTGGTCATGTCAAAGACAAGGACGAGGACGTGCGCGTCGCGGTAGAAGGCCTCACGCGATGGCGCAAAGGCATCGTTTCCGGTCACATCCCACAGCGTGAGCCCCAGCAGCGGAGTCGATGCCCGTCGTGGCGCCACCATGACCGTAGCTGGCGTCACCTCCACGCCCACCGTCGTCACATACGGCCCAGCAGCATCGCCCGGAAGGCCAGACGCACTCCCGCCGACGGCGCCACTGGGACAGGCGCTGGCGCCAATCCCGCCGCCAGCAACGCCTCCTCCTCCAGGGCCGGAACAAGCCCCACCAGCCCCACCCGTAGCGTCAAGACCACCGTCGACCATGCCCAAACCTCCGCCGCCAGCAGCGCCAGGCACCTCGCCCAGAAGAGCCCGGGCCAGGCACGTCTTCCCACTCCGGCACTCGCCAAGGAGCACCACTTTAGCACCCACAGCCCCAGCCGTCCGAGCTCGATTGAGAGGCGAACCGGCGTCGTTGTCCTCGTCAAAGGCGTCAAGCGCAAAGACAGACATGTTCAATGGCTCTTGACTCGAGCTCGATGAGCCGAAGCTGAGTGGCCTTGGTCTCGCTCGCCGATGGCAATGGCGTTGCCGTCGCCAGCGGCCGAATGGGCCGGCGCAGGCAGGCAGGAGGGAATGGGGGGGGGGTGATGAGGAGAGGGCGATGAAAGGGTAGGCGATGGGAAGAAAGTGGGCGATGGTGGTAGATGATGGGTGGTGGAGGAGGGGAGTGATGGGGGAGTGGTGGTGGTCATCCGATGAGGACATCTCGCCCGTTCTCGCTCTCCCTCTCTCTCTGGCCACGTGACTGATCACCGCTCTGATAACCTCCTCCGTCCCTTTCCTCAACGGCATCTACACCAGGGATCAGCACCACCATCCTAGCCTCTCATCACCCACCAGAACACCCACCACCAACTCCCCACTGTCTTTCGATGAGTGATGGTCAGCGATGCCCTTGGAACGGTCTCCCTCATCGACGCCCTCACCTGGTCGGCATCGTCTGCCACCTGTCGCCCACATTTTGGCGCCGACAGCGAGAGCGACTCAAACGGAAGCTGACGATGTTCCGCCGAGTGGGACGGATTGTGGGATGGGGAGGACGACTGCACATGCTGGTGCGAAGGGCAGGAAGCAAGTCAAGCGTCAGCTCGGCTCCAGACACGCCGTTTCATTTTGATGCTCTCGAAGCCCGCGCCATGGCCCTTGAGGTCGAAGTCGTCGGTTGCCGTGAGCTCCGGGCGCCGCCGGCAACATCGCTGATGGGCATGACCTTCTCCCACATCCATCCCTATGTCCAGCTGGCTCTGACAAGCCCGCCGCGAGAGGCCGAGCCTGTAGCGGATGCCGATGTTGGTGCCGGAGACGGAGTCGAGACCAGCGGCGCCGAGGCCGCCGTCAACCCGCCAGAGACTCCCGCGCGCATCAAGCGTAAGCGCAACCCACTGGAGAAGGCCGTGGTGACCAAGCACGTCAAGGATCACGACAACTCGCCGGTGTATGGCGAGCGGTTTGTGTTTCCGCTCGATGAGGAGGCATCGCTCCGCGTTCGGGTCTTCGATCACTCGAGCCTTTCGTCGAAGCACACCGTGCTTGGCGTGGCAGACGTCCCGCTCGCGCGCATTGTTCGCGACATCCAGCGTCAGCAAGGCAACTCTGGCCTCGAGTGGCTCTCAACCTGGTTCTGGCTCGGGCCGGAGACCCAGGCTATGGGCCGGGTCTACCTCAACTTTCGCGTCCTGCCATGGGCCAAGCTGCTAGAGCAGCGGCGGCGGTCGCAGCGGTCGAACAAGCCGCCGGCGCCGCTGCCGCAGGCCCAACGGCCCGCTGGCGTCGCATCGCAGGTTGAAGACAGTCTCGGGTGGGAGATCCCGTGGCACAAGACGGCCCAGCTGCCGTCGACCGATCCAGTTGCCCCGCCGCCCAAGTTCCGCATCCTCTCGCTCGACGGAGGTGGCATCCGCGGCATCCTCACTGCTGTCGTCCTCCACCGGCTGCTGGCAAAGCACCCGCTGCTACTGCAGGATGTTGATCTCATTGCGGGCTGCTCTACCGGCGGCATCATTGCTATCATGCTGGCGTGCGGGTACTCGCCTGCGCAGGTAGCGGCCATTTACGAGGCGCACTGCCCGTCGATCTTCAGGTCGGACCCGATCCGCCGGTTCTCGCCGTTCTCGGCCAAGTACTCGGACAAGGTCAAGTACAATGCGTTCAAGGACTACGTTGGAAGCGTCAAGCTTGGTGAGCTCGGCAAGCACGTCATGGTGCCGGCGTTCCGGCTGGATGGACGGACCGGGCACTCGGACGATGCCGAAGCCCGGTCGATCTTCCCGTCGCCAACCTGGCGGCCGGCGCTCTTCTCTAACTTGCCGGCATACTCGGGCCCGGCCGAGCATACTGGCGCCGTCTCGACGGCGGTCGGGCCGGACAACAAGATGTCGGCCATGGACGTGGCCATGATGACTTCTGCGGCGCCGACCTACTTTCCGCCGTTCCGCTCTGACTCATACCTCCGCGACACGTACTTTGTCGATGGCGGTGTGTGCATCAACAATCCAGCACAGGCTGCCGTGGCTCGGGTCGTCTCGCTCTACCCGCACGTCACGATGGACAACACGGTGGTACTCTCTCTCGGCGCCGGCGTCTTCAACATCAACCTCTCGTTTGAGGAGGAAGAGGACACCGACTTTGGCATCCGCCAGTGGGCACCGCACCTCCTAGATCTTGCCATGGATGGCGACCGGCTCCTCACCGACTACCTCATGCGGCTGACAATGGGCGAGCGGTACCACCGACTCGATCCGCTCCTCCCACGGCAGATCCCGCTCGACTCGGTCGATGACATGGACGAGCTCGTCTCCATCGCCATGAATGTCGACCTCTCGGCCACCCACGCTTTTCTTCAAGACACCTTCCTCCGTCGGCCTGCCCATCCGTAGCCGGCCCGGGCCCGGCCCGGTCCGGCCAACCGCACCGATAGCCGTTCCTCGTCGGACATGGCTTGGCAAGATCAACCAGACAGCGATCCAGCAAAGTGGAGCTTCCCCCAGCAGTCGAGCTGTACCAGCAGCAAAAGTAGTCGGATCAGTCCAGCCTTGTGCGGCCTGCCGCCGCGACACGCAGTGCAGCCATCGGCCGAGTGGGACTCGGCGAAGCGACACGCCGCCGCCAAGGCCAGCCGCCAACCTACCTCCGACCACCGCCTCCGACCTGGACCTGCACTCCACTGCACCTGGGCTAGGTACAGGCACAAGTACTACTACATACCTCCCCTCCCCCCCCCCCCCCCTCTCCCTAGGCACAAGGATGGCAGTTAGTGGCAAGGCGAGGCTTGGCGATACGGTGACGTGGAATGGGCACACGTACAAGGCGACCGAGCTGGCTGTCTTCTACAAGCCCCACACGGTCTCGTTGCTGCTGATGGGCATGATTGTGCTCCTGGCTGCTGGTCTGTGGCAGACATCGCCGGCTGATGGCACGGCTACAAAGGTCTCTGTTGATGATATGCCTGTACGGGCGGCTTGGACAGCTGGTGGCGCAGCGTTTAGCGTCTATCTCCTCTACGCCCTCCTCCAGTTCCCTGATGGCCTCTTCACCCGCCCGCATCCGGCCGTCTGGCGAGTCGTCCTTGCTCTCTCGCTGGCTTATCTGGTGGCTCTGGTCTTTGTCTTCTTTCTTCCGGTGGCATCGGCTCGCGGACTGCTCACCCTGCTTGATCCGTCGCTGGGAAGCAAGCTCGAGCTCCCGCTGTACGCCACCGACTGCTCGCTCTCCTGGGCCAACGTCTCGCCCAAGCTGTGGGACATCTTTGTGGTTGCTCACTTTGCGGGATGGTTTGTCAAGGCCCTCATGATCCGCAACATTGCCATCTGCATCACCCTCTCGGTCCTGTGGGAGCTCGTCGAGCTCTCGCTTGTCACCATGCTGCCCAACTTCGGCGAGTGTTGGTGGGATCAGCTCATCATGGACATCCTGGTGTGCAACGGCGGCGGCATGATGCTCGGGCTTTATCTCGGCGGCTACTTTGAGATGAAGGAGTACAACTGGGTCGGCTTCCGCGCCATCGAGTCGGTCCGTGGCAAGGTTCGGCGCGCTGCCCTCCAGTTTACGCCGCAGTCGTGGACGACGGTCGAGTGGAAGATGTTTTCTTCGTACCGCCGCCTCGGCGCCATTGCCATCCTCATTGCCGGCATCACCGTTGTCGAGCTCAACGCCTTTTTGCTCAAGGCCGTCCTCTGGGTCCCGTCGTCCAACTGGCTCAACCTGCTCCGGCTCGGACTCTGGGTCGCCTTTGGCGCGCCCACCCTCCGCGAGTACTACCAGTACATCACGGATCCGCATTGCAAGAAGCTCGGAACCCAGGCGTGGGTTGCTCTCGCCTGCATGCTCGCGGAGACCGCCATTGCCTTCAAGTTTGGCCTTGTGTACTTTGCCCACCTCGACGTCCTTGTCCCGGCCTGGATCTGGGGCCTGTGGCTGGCTGCCGGCGCCGCTTTTCTTGCGGCGTACTCGGCCAACTACTCGCGGGCCAAGGCGCAAGCCCAGGGCAAGCGCGTGTGGCGACATCGGCCGGCTTCGACCGCGAGCGAGCCGAGTTAGGCTCAGGCGCTAGCTTGATCGCCGAGCATGACGTCGCGGACGTAGTCGCGTGACAGCAGGTCGGCCTGTCGCACCGGCTCCGGAATGCGGTACCGTGCGCAGGCGCGCACAATGCGCAGCGCACTAAGCAGGCCGACGCGGTGGCCTGATGAGACGTACAGTGCCTTGCGCGATTCGGAGGCCCGGAACGCTGCGCCCCACACACGCCCGCTCTCGCCAACCACTAGCAGCGCGTCGCCAGCGGCGGTCAGAACCTCGCGCGAGGTGGCAACAATGTCTTCTTGAGACACGCCGTCGACATGGTAGAACGACTTGCCGATGCCGATTGTCGGAACGTCGATGAGGACGCCGAGATGCGAGGCGAGGCCAAAGCCGCGGCGGTGGAGTACACCATTGCCGTCGACCAGCACCACGTCTGGCACAAGCTCGGGCGCGGTCGCACGCAGCCGCTCAAAAGCCTCCACAAAGAAACCCACTTCGCGAAAAGCGAGAAAGCCCGGAATGTACGGCTGATCGAGCTCGACCGGCCAGATGTCGGTGTAGACCACGTCGAGCGCCGGGTAGCTGAGGACAACCAGCGACGCCGCCGCCCGCACCGCATCGCCCTTGACAAACGAGATGTCGACGCCAGCAATCCGATTCACGCTCTCAGGCAGACCGATGTCGTCAGCAGCACCGATCCGGATGGCCCGGCCACGGATGACGGTCCCTGCAGCAGCCATGGCCTCGGGCTCGGGCATCACAGCCTTGCCGTCGTTCGTAGGCAACGGCCAAGATGCGGCCAGAGCAACATCAGCATCTGCCACAGCCTCAGCCACATCATCCGGCACGCCGTCCCATTCCATAGTAAATGGCAAGTCTGCATCCTGCGCAATAAGCTTATTCTTCAGCTCCATCTGGATTGCCTCCCATTCGCGTCGAACGGCCACGCCCGGATCCGGCAGCTCGCCATCGTCCGCACCCGCTCCGGTCTCATCCACCGCTTCCGTTGCCACGGCTGCCACTTCTTCCATCACTCCCACATCCGTCTCTGTCGTTGGTGCTTGTCTACTTGCCATATGACTGTCTGCAGTGTCGAGGTGAGTGTGAGTGAGATGTGGGCTCGCGTGGCCGCTCTGAGCTCATCGAAAGAATGGAAGCAAGTGGCGAAGCCGGCGAAGCCATCGAAGCTGCGATGAGGGGAGAGGGGGGAGGGGAAGGGGGGGGGGATGCAGTGATATGTGTGTGTGTGTGGGGATGCAGCGATGCAGCGGTGCAGCGATGGGGATGCGACAACATGGCGATACCACAACATGGCGATGCCACAACATGGCGATGCCACAACATGGCGATGCCACAACATGGCGATGCCACAACATGGCGATGCCATAACATGGCGATGCCACAACATGGCGATACCACAACATGGCGATGCCACAACATGGCGATACCACAACATGGCGATGGCACAACATGGCGATGCCACAACATGGCGATCCCTTCTCCCGTCGCAACAGTTTCCGATGCCCATGCCCCCTCCCTCCTCCTCCCGCCCCCTGTCGCACGGCCGTGTGACTCGTGACCCACACCCACACCTGCACACCTCGCATCACATTGCACACACTCCTCTCCTCTCCTCTCTTCTCTTCCCTTTGAAGATGGCTGCACTTGGTCTTGCTGCCACGGTGGTGGTGGCAGTGGTGGTTCTGGCTCTGGCTCTGGCTGCCGACGGCGTGGCGAGTGAGTACGGGCAGGCGCTGGAGGCAGCCGACGCGCTACTGGAGGCGGGCGAGGCGGCGGCGGCGGCAGAGGCGTATCAGGCACTGGATGAGGATGAAGGTAGTTGGGCCTATCGACGGTGGGCAAACCAGGCGCTGGCACTGGCTACCATCCACGCTTATCGGCCTGCGCTTCTGGCCGCCCATCGGGCGGCGGCCATCAACGCCACGCTTGATCTGGCCTTTCTCTCGGGCTTTCTGCACTTGATGGAGGGCGAGGCCGAGGAGGCTGTCCGCCTCCTCTCGGAAGCCACCAAGATTGATGCCTCTCGCGGCAACGGGTGGCTTTATCTGGGCAACGCTCACGAGGCGCTCGGCCAGCACGCGCTGGCCAAGAAGGCCTATGCCCACGCCTGGCGCCTGCTCAAGTCGCGCAAGGCGCTGCGCGCGCTCGGCTTTGCCTACCGTGCGCTTGGCAAGCCCGCCCTCGAAGAACGGCTGTACGCTACCGCTGTCGACGAGGGCGTCCTGGTCAATGCCCGTCAGCGCCCGGATCTACTCACGCCTGGCCTCGATGCCACGCCTTGGCATGCCAACAGCGAGTTTGCATGGATGCCAGCGCTCGAAGCCGCGCTGCCCATAATGCGTGCCGAGCTCGACGCTGTCCTTGCTGCCGATCCGGACCGGCTCGCCGCTCCGTTCCACCTAGTGGGCACCGGCGGCAAGTTTGCCCACGACCGCGCGCTCTACTCTGCATCGGGCAAGGCCTGGCACCAGATTGTGCTGTTTGAGCCTGGCGAGCCCGGGCCGGGCGCATCATTCTTTCCCAACACCGTCGCGGCACTCTCGGCCACCATTCCGCATGCGCTCTCGTACGGCCGGGTCGTCATTTCGCTCATCGAGCCAGGCGTTCGCATCGTGCCACATTGCGGCCCGACCAACGAGCGGCTCACCGTCCACTGCGGGCTGCGAGTCCCGAGCCACTTGGCGGTTCCACCGGCCATTGTCGTTGGCGGCGTCGAGCGCCCTTGGCGTGAGGACAGCTGTTTTGTCTTTGACGACTCGTTCGAGCACGAGGTCTCGTTCCCGATCCCATCCGATGCCGAGGCCGATGCGCTACGCGCGGTCCTCCTCTTCCACATCGAGCACCCTGGGGTGGCTGCAGCGAGGGACGCCATCGCACACGTGTCTGAGGATGAGTGGCTTCGCCGCCAGTTTGGCGCCTCGTAGCTGCTAAAGACAAAGCTCTCGCGGCTGTGGCAAGCACTGCTGTGTTTGTCCCTTTACGGTACGGAATGGACAAACGTGTCTGTCGCGCAAGCCGCGCTCCGCGACGCTCCACAGACGTCGCAACGTCCATCAATCGTGGTAAAAGAGTAGTACAATGTGTTAATGGCTGCCACAACAGAAAACAATCGGCGATGCAGAGATGGACGCCGCGCGCGGCGCAAAAGGTCCGCGACCGCGATCGCTTACCATGAAGCTTCCGGAAGGCGAGGCAGTCGCGTCGCACGGTGGCTCGCTGGGAAAGGTGGTGATGACGAGCAGCCGCTGCAGAGGGACGCTTCCGCTTGTTCACGACGAGACGCGCACACCAACGCGTCCGAACCACCGTAAAGGGTTACCCATCCCGCGCCTCATGCTCATCAAGCGAGTGCGAGACGTGCATCAAGACCTCGCCCTGCCGGGCAATCCGCGCCTTAGCGGCAGTGTACATGGCACGCAGCTTGTTGTGCTTGACCTTGAGCCGCTTGTACTTGTTTGACAAGTCAAGCAAATTGGCTGCCGTCTCCTGATGCAGTGAGCCCCAGGTCCGGGCCGACTCGAGCGCGGTCGCCAGCTTGCGCTCCGCTGTCACCACTTCGGCTTGCATCTCGGCCTTGGCGGCGGCGGCGGCGCTCTGATCCGAGACAGCGCGCATGAGCTCAGTCTCCTGTGCGCGAATGTCGGCGAGCACCTTGTAGTTGGCCTCTAGAGCTGCACTGGGATCTGGCACGCTGCGGAGCTCGTCAACAGCATCAAGCACTGACGCCAGCTGGGCCCGCAGCATGCGGTTCTCCGCAATCAGCTCGTCGCTTGCCGCTACACTCGTTGTCGCCTTTCCTTTCAGATCAGGCTCAGGCGACCAAAGCACCGACGTCACCGAGGCAATCGGCGACGCCGACGGAGACCGCCGTCGGCGCTGCTCAACGGTGGACATCGACTCGCCCCGGTATGCAAAGAAAACGCTCCGCAACAACGCCGCGAGGGCCTTGGCTTCGGTGGTCGTGGTATCGGGATCAAACTCGGCAGCCTGCGGGAGTCCAGTCTTGCTGCCGAGCTCGTCGCGTGCAACTGCGCAAAGCTCGTCCGCCAGCTCGCGGAACGGCGCGAGAGCGGCAGCGACGCGGGAAGCTGCCTTGACCTCGGCGTTTTCGAGCTCAACGGCTTGAGCTGCCGCCCTGGCGCGGTAGTGCGCTGTGCGTGCTTGATCAATGCTGCCCGACTCGAGATCTTCCAACTTGACAGGCTGTGCCTCTACTCCCAGCACAGACTCTGCCTCGCCCGCCCGACCATCATCCCTGGCATAGCATGAGTTGCTACTGCGGCTTGGCTGGAGATCGACGGCCTCGACGGGCTGTTCGAGCTCAGGCACGCCGTCAACCAGCTTCATGTCAACCGATCGCCTCCGCTGCCGCATACCCGACAGTTCCAGATCATCGATGACCGAGATGGAAAAGCACTCGCTCAGGCTCTGCACCGCTGTCTGCGGAGCCATATCCAGGCGCATGGCGTTGCGGATGTCGGCGACGTACGCGCGGGTCTTGGCGTCTGCTGCCGAGGTGGTGGCCGAGTCCCACACACAGTCCTGACTGCTCTCCACCTCGTCATCGTCCGAGCTCACTACCCACGCCGAAGCATCCACCCAGCTTCCAGTCTGATCTTGATCTTGCCACGTCTCGGTGGCCCGCGGCTTGTCGGCCTCCGGCTTGTCGGCCTCCGGCTTGTCGGCCTCCGGCTTGTCGGCCTCCGGCTTGTCGGCCTCCGGCTTGTCGGCCTGTGACTGCTCACGTGCGGCCCGCCAAAGCGCCTTGCGCGGGCCGAGAGCCTCGGTAGCGGCCATTCCAGGGCGATCCAGCCGAAAGCCCGAGACTGGAGTGTGGATCTTGATACCGTGAACAGTAACTGCCGACAGCGGTGTTGCTGGAGTGCCAGCTGGGGCAACTGGCGTCCTTGGCGTTGTGTTGGTCCTGTCTGCCAGCGGTGAGAGACAAAGTGATTCAAAATTTGGCATCTTGCCCGCCGAGCCACCAGGCCTTGCACCCTGCGGCGCTGTAGCCAGCGCCTTGTCCTGCCACACAACAAAGCCACTAGCCATACCAACACACACACACACACACACACACACGCAAGCTCTTCCTTTCTCTCTGCGGTGACTATCCTCTCCACTGACTAGAGAAGTGTATTGATCTGCCAGTCTGGCTTGTGTGTGGCTACATGCCTCGGTCGTCTCCTCCTCCCAAACCGTTCGCGCCATGTCGTGCCACTCCTTCCCGCCTGCCTGCCCTGCCGACTGTGAGCAACCGCCACGTCCACGTCCACGTCCACGTCTCTCTCTCTCTCTCTCTCTCTCTCTCTCTTCTCTCTCTCTCTCTCTCTCCCCCCTCCTCCCCCTCTAACCCTTTAACCATGTTCATTGACCCCCGCTCGCCGGGCCTCCCGCGGACCCCCGTGCCGTGCATGCGGCCAGCGGCTGTGGCCTGGGACCCTCGCTCGCCGCCTGCTCCTCACGCCGGCTTTGTCCGCACGCCTGTGGCTCGTCCTTCCTCTCTTCTGGTCGATCCTCGCTCGCCGTCCATGGTCCGCACACCTATGGCGGCGCCACTGCCTCTGGCCTCTCGGTTGCGCTCCTCGCCGGACCTCGTTGAGCTGGCAGCGGTCGACATCGCCTTCTCGCCTAATGGCATTGCCGTCGACTCGCTGCCTGAGCTCGAGTCGAGCATCGAGTACGGGATCGCAGGCGAAAGCGAGGAGAGCGCAGTGACCGTGGCGGTGACACCCGTCAAAGTCTTCTCGCCTCAAGGACGCTCCGCCATGGCATCGCCGTCCCGGACGCCGTTCTCGCCGCTGCGTCTGGCCAATCGGACCGCTACCGCCGCGCATCTGGGCCGCAAGACCTCGCTCAAGCCCACGCCGGCCGTCTCGCCACTAACGCCATCCATTTCCAGCGGCTTGCGGGCATCATCGCTTCCGCCTGCCCTTCCTCCGTCGCCGGCCTCTCGCCTCTCTTCCTTCACCCGCGCCGGTGACCGCGGCATGGCCACATCCGCCGTCTCACCGGCCATCGGCCGCATCCTAACCCCCATCCGCCGCTCTTCCCCCTCACCATGTCGCATCCGCTGAGCTCCACCCAATGTATCCCCCCCCCCTCTCCCTCCCCCATCCATCACCTCCGATCCCACCGATCAAATCCATCTGTACAGTTCACCCATCTCGATCTTGATCCTCCCCTTCCACCTTCTTCAGCCTTGTATTCTCCGCCCATCGATCCTACCCAAGGCTCACCCCCCGCACCTCCCCGTACCCCCCCACGCCCCCTCCCCCCCCACACTCCCACCCCGCACACACTTCTCCTCATCCTCATCCTCCACCCGACCCCCCACCCCCCCCTCCCACGAGGAAACGATGCGGGCGACCCTGGCGCTTGTTATGGGCTCGTACACGCTCAAGACTGTGGCGACAGCCCTGCTTGGCATCATGTTCGAAGCCCTGGAGACGGCTCTGGACGCCACGCCGACAGGACTCGGCCTCATCGTCATGGTCACTGCTGTGGTGGAGGCGACATCACTCACTGGTTGGGGACGGGCATGCGATCAGGCACCACGTGTCAGACTCTGGGTCCTCTCCACCCTTCTCTGGGGATCACTCACCGTGGCCCTCGCCTTTGCCACCTCGTTTGCTTCCTTCCTCGTCCTCCGCGCTGCCTCGGGCCTCGGTCTCTCGGGCCTCACCGCCATCGCTGGCTCGCTCATTCCCGACATGTTTGCCGCTGCTGATCGCGGCAGAGGCTTTGGTCTTCTTGGCGTCGCTGGTCTCTCTGGCTTTATCATCGCCGCTCTTCTTGGCTCTTCTATCGGTGCATCGTCTGTCGGCGCCGTCCCGGGCTGGCGCATTCTGTTCTTCCTTGTTGGTGCCGCAACCTTCCCCATTTCGCTCGTCATCTCGCTCTTTGCGGTCAATCCAGAGCGTGGCGGCTTTGAGAGTGCCTCGGACGACGAGACAGCCCTGGCTTCGGCCGAACACGCTGTGCTCTTCCTCACAACCGGCGGCGCCGCCGGTGAAAACCTGCTGTATGTGTCGGCTGACGACGACGGCAGCAACGATGAAGACATCCAGAGCAGGTCTTCCGTTACTGTTGATTGTGATGGCCATTCTTCGGCGTCGGCTTGCTCGCATGTATCCGGTCCCGCGGACGAGCGCAGCTGGCGCGGCTCGTCCTCGGCGCTGAGCGCGAGCGAGTCGAACAGCATCTCGGCCCACGAAGAGCAGGAGGGCGACGATGAGCGTGATGCACCAGGCTTGGCTGTTCTGGAAGCGCCGACCCGAGTCGGGCTCACCGCGCCTCGACTGCGGTCCAACTCGCACTCGGTCTCGTCGACTCTCAACGCGCCTTTCCCGCCGTTTATGACACCGCCGACCTCGCCGGTCGGAAGCAGCTTCCCTCGCGTCACCTCGCACCCGCGGCTGGTCTCATTTGACCCAGACCATCCGCAAACGCCGCCGCCGATGCGACGTGCAGCCACGCACTCGATGGGCCTGGGCGCAGCGGCGGCAGCGGGAAGCGAGCCGGTGCGGCGGCACGCTTTGTTTGGCGGTCGCAGCAGTCGCGCTGCCAGCTTGTCACTGGCATCATCGGCCGCTGACCCACCTCCCAAGGCTGTCTGGGCCGTGATTCTCGCCGCCCTCACTTCCTTTGCGACCGAGGTTCGACCGCTTGTCCGCAATCGCGCACTCATTGCACTTACGCTCGCGCGCGCCATGGGCTCACTCCCGGTCAATGCCCTCTCGTTCATGGTTCTCTGGTTCCAGTACGTCGGGCTCTCCGACTTTGGCGCTGGCGTCTCGGTCGCCTTTGCCGCGCTCGGTACCATCCTCGGCTGCGTCGTTGGCGGCTGGCTCGGCGACTGGGCTTCGATCCGCTGGCCGAACCGCGGGCGGATCACAGTGGCGCAAGTGACCCAGGTGGTCCTCTGCATTGCCATGTACTCGCTCATCAAGACCGTTCCACAGGACCCGTCGTCGCTGATATACTTTATCGTCATCACCATGTTCATCGGCATGCTTCTTGCCTTTCCGGCCTTTGCCTGCGACCTGCCCATTCTCGCCGAGGTTGTGCGGTGGCAGACGCGTGGAACGGCGTACGCCATCTCCGGCCTCTTCCTCGGCCTCTTCTCCTCCATCGGCTCGCTCCTTGTGGGCATCATTGCAGACAAGCTGTTCCACTATCGGGCGCGGACCAAGAAGATCGCCAAGCTCAAGCCGCGCGACAAGCAGCACAACCTGGACGCGCTCTCCAACGCCATTCTTCTCCTCTTCCTTTCGTCGTGGGCCATTGTCTTTTTCATCACTTTTTCGTCGCCCGCCTGTACCCGCGCTACCGCGACCGAGTCCGCGGCTCCCGCCGAACTGGCGAGCTGGAGCCAGTACTGGTCGAGGCAGCGACCGAGGCCGACGATGCAGACTCCGGCCTTTCCGGCGAGGCCGGCACTGCTGTATCGGTCATGTCTCCCGCCTCTGAGGCCTCCGAGGCGGCAACTAGGTCGTCAACGTGGTTTACTCTCTCGCGCGCCACTGTCTACCACGACGCGCAGCTCCAGCTGCGAAGCCGGCAGCCACACCCAATCCAAGCGCTACCGTTCTAGCTGGTGGTGGCGTAGCATCATGTCTTGCGTGCGCCCCACGCCATGGTTGTGTACATGGGATTGCGCGCAAGCTTGAGCTCGTCGTCGGGATCAACCTTGCTGTGCTTGTACACCAGGCGGGCGCCATCAAACTCGTATCCGTGACCAGCATCGGCGGCGTACTCGTCGTAGTCAAAGTCCGAGCCGAGGCCCTCGCCTTGCATCTGAGTAATCAGCGCGTCTGTTGCCGGCAGCATGTGGGCCTCAAACGCCGACGAGTCATCGCCCCCACCCGAGAGCGATCCAAACTCGCCGTGATCGCCAAACGAGAGCTCGTCCGAGTCAATGTACACGTCGAGTGCGTCGTAGACGCCAATGATACCCACAGCCGCAGCGGCAATGAGGGCGGCAACGACGCAGAGGACAGTAAAGACCATCCACGGCGAAGTGATGTCGTCAACCTTGACCCAGATTGTGAGCATGGCCGCCACAAAGACAATGGCATACGCGGCCATCTCCAGAATGTTGAGCTTCCACAGGTACAAGCCGTACGGCCGGGTGCGGCCGACCACAAGCACCGCACCCGCAGCTGCCGTGGCCACAGCGGCCAGGTACACAGCGGGCTGTTTGCCCGGCTCGAAGAATGCGGTTCCGACCGCGGCGAAGAACACCAGCTGGCGGAGCCATGAGTTGGGTTTGGGCTCGCGTCGGACGTCGATGTCGGCTGCCACACGCGCCAGCCACGGCCCGGCGCCAAACACTGCCGCAGGGTAGTAGACGGCGAGGCCGACAAGCGCAACACCTGCTGCGCCCAGATGGCTTCCACTCCAGCACTGCACGTCGACGTCGGCCGCCAGCGTCGGCGCCCGGTCTGACCAGTACGAGCACACAAGCGGCGAGATGAGGTTGCGGATGGTCGGGAGGAAAAGCAGAGGATCCACAAGCGCAAGCAGGCCCGCAATGGAATCGGCAAACCGCCCACGGAAGGTAAAGAGGCCAACCTCGACCAAGAGTCGGTAGCTAAACGCCCACACGCAAGCGAGCGCAAACGAGAGGTACGCCGGGTACGGGACGAGGTCCTCGAACGAGAGCACAAGGACTTGGGCCACTTGCGAGAGCGAGGCGGGCCACCCGAGATCGGTCCGGACGCAGAGAACCACCAGCTGCAGTGCCTGGATGACAGCTACAGCTGCCATGGCCACGTTGGCCTTGGAGAGCCTCACCGTAAACGGCGCAGGCCACATGGTCGACGCCGTCCCGACAACAGCTTCATAGCCTGCCACAACAAGACCCAGCCCGACAATGTAGATGGCAAGAATGACCGAGAGACCCCAGACAGCGGCGGAATCGGCGCCGTCGTCAGCAGACGCATCGCCAAACAGGTGCGACGCCGAGCCGACGAGAAGCGCAAGCCATAGCAGCGGGAGGAGCGTGGTGGCGGCGTGGACGGCAAGTGCCGAGCCGAGTCCCATGTGCTCTGAGCCCATGAGCCAGAGCGGAAGCAGGAGCGTCCGTGCCAGCCGCCACGGCGAGAGATTGTGGAACGAGATGTAGCCGAGCGCGTTGGCCGGGAGCGAGTGCAGCGGATTGTGGGCCGCGTCGAGCTTGATCAGGTGCGGGAGGTCCTTGAGCGAGGTCGGGAGCGTGGTGAGCTTGTTGTGGGCCACGTTGATGACCTCGAGCGAGGAGCACTTGCCCAGCGCAGGCGTGAGCTGGACCAGCGCATTATCGGCGGCATTAAGAAGTTCGAGCTTGCCGCACCGCCCGATCGACGACGGGAGCGCGACGAGGCTGTTAGAGCGCACGTTGAGGTGGACAAGCGAGGTGCATGCGCCGAGTGCCGCCGGCAGGTACACAAGCCGGTTGTTGCGGACGTTGAGGTGGGTGAGCGCAGCGAGCGAGCAAAGGCTCTCGGGCAAGTGGGTCAGCTTGTTGCCGTACAAGACGAGCGAGGTGAGTGACGATAGCGAGCCGACGGCCTTGGACAGCCGCCGCAGCCCGTTGGAATGCAGCGAGAGCTCGGTGAGCTGACTCAATGCCTCCAACGAGCGAGCTGGCAACGAGAGCGCGTTGCGCGACACATCCAGCGAGGTGAGCTTGGCGAGCGAGCCGGCCGGCGCCAGCTGCGGCAAGTGGTTGTGATACAGGTCGAGGACCTCGAGATTGGTTAGACCCTCGAGCGACGACGGAAGATGGACCAGCGAGTTGGAGGCGAGGAGGAGCTGGCGGAGTGTGGTCAGTCTCCCGACTTGCGACGGAAGCGTCTCAAGCTTGTTCCACCGCAGGTCGAGAATCCGGAGGTGGTCAAGTCGGCCGACCGCCGGATGCAGCTCTTCCAGCATGTTGCGCGAGAGGTCGAGGTGGGTGAGACTCGAGAGCTCTTGAACGCACGCCGGGAGGGACCGAATCTCGTTGCCATGCAGAATGAGCCGTTCCAGGCTCGGAACATTGGCGAGGAGCGTGACAAGCTCGAGCGGGACGAGCCCGAGCCCAACAAAGGAGAGATCTAGCCGCTCGGCGCCGGTCCTTGCAAACGAGCGCAGCGCCAGGACAGTCTTCTCGGCTGCGGCGACGGCCCACTGCGAGTCGAAGAACTCGGGCGTGATGCCAGCCAGAAAGGCAAGCGCAGCGCGGGAATTAGCCGACGACCGCTTTGACGGTCCTCCGGCGCGATGAACAGATCGCAAGTCGTCAAACCCCTTGGGTAGTGCCGAGCTCTTGAGCCCTGCCGCCTCTGCAGGCCCAAAGACTGAGTCGTGGGTGGACGATGGCTCCGAGTCGAGCGACGACGACGACGAGAGACCGAACGACCTGGCGTGGTCCTCTTCGTAGTCGGAAGAGTACGAGAGCGACGGCGGCAGCATGGCAGCCGTAGTCGGCGTGGGCGTTGCCTTTCCTCTGACAGGAACATCTCCGTCGGTTTGCAGCACGATGTTGGAGAAGAACCGCGAGGATGAGGAGGAGGGCGAGGAGGAGGAGGGCGAGGAAGACGAGGAGGCCGACGACATGTTGCGGGGCTGAGTGTGTGTGTGTGTGTGTGGGGGTTTGTGGGGGGTTGGGGGTTGAGAGGTGCCCGGACTGAGCGTTTGTGTGTGGTTGTGGTTGTGGTGCGGTGCGGTGGTGGTTGTGGTGGTTGTGGTTGTGGTGGTAGTGTGTAGTGTGGAGTGTGGTGTGGTGTGACTGGGTGTGGGCGTGTGTGTGTGTGGCGGTGGAATGGGCGGTGAACAACCGTCGTCGGTGGTTGGTGCCAGCTGCGAGCGGCTCAACTCGGTGGCGACGGACATGATGGCGAAGAAGCTTAACCGCCTTTCGGCTCTGCGCGCCGAGAAGATAATGCCCCTGCGTGCGTGGATGCTTTTCGACTTTGAGCTGATAAAGAAGCAGTGGTGATGATACTCATACGTCTAGCCTGAGCGGATAGTCATGGCTACCATCATGAGTTTGTCTGTCACAGATAGTCGATCCGTTCACCGGTTCGTGGTTGGTGGTCGGCGGTCGGTTGAAGCAAAGTAGGTTTAAGGCGATGTCCAAATGTGGTTAGTCGGTAAAGGTGAACCGATCGGAACGGTTGCGGGCCTTCTTGGAGAGAGTGTCAGAGAGAGTATTGTCAGCCTCGTTGAGGCGTGCGCGGCGCATGCGGAAGAAAAGAATGGCGACGATGATGCCGATGCAGCAGACTCCACCGGCAGAGGCGCAGGCGATGATAACAACCTTCTGCGAGTCATCCTTGACGATGGGCGAGCCGCGCTGGTAGGCCGGCAGGGTGTAGGAGCAGGTGTTCCGGGACATGTCGCACGAGCCCGAGTAGGTGCCCTGGTAGAGGAGGACGCAGTGATCGTCGGCAAAGCATTCGACGCACTTACCGTTGAAGCAGTGCGAGTCGGTGCAGTTGGGCACGCACCCGGTCTGGCTCGGCGGCGGCGGCGGATCGTAGTTGTCCGGCGCATCGACGAGCTTGCCCGAGAAGAAGTTGCACATGCCTTGGCCGTCGTTGCGGAAGCACTGGCCGACGGCCGAGCGCGATTTTGCGACGTCGATCTGGGTGGTGACGTCGCACATGGCGGTGTTGCGGCCGTCGCACATGACACAGCGCGCCGGGGCCTGGCGAACATCGCACTTGGGATAGAGGCCACGGAACTCGTCGTTGGCGGCGGTGATGTTGGTCGTGGTACAGTCGGCGTCCACCTCACACTTGCCGGGCGTCCACGAATCAGTCTTGGTCCACCACTCGGCCTTGGTGTCTCCCGGCCCGGTGTACGGCCCGGACCCGTCATCGGCGACCCGACCGAGCGCAACAGTGAGCGCTTGAATGGTCGGGATGAGGTTGGCCGGCTTGATAAACTCGGAGCCAAGGACCTTGGCTGCCGGATCAAACCACCCGGGCTGGGCGCAATCAAAGATAAGCTGGTTGACAAACGAGCCGCACTCGTCAATGGTGAGCGGCTGATTGGTCGCCACTGACAGCGGCGTGTATGTGGCGATGTACGAAACGGCCATAAACGAGACCTGGTCCACAAAGTTGGCCTGGGCCACGTCGCGCGCCACGATGAATCCGTTGGCGCCGATGGTGCCCTTGAGACCGGAGACAAACCGCGTAGGACGGCCAGCAGGCACTGTCGTCCGGAGGTACTCGGTGACAGCAGCGTCCGGCTCAAACGTGAGGGTCTTCACCGCCTGCAGCGGCACGCCGCTGGCCGTGTTCCACACCATCGCCTGGGCGTTGACCACCTCGACGTTGGTCAGATTGAGGGTGTGCTCCTCGTTGGTCACCTCAAATGCCGGCAGCGTCTGGTGGTAGTCGAGCGCGGCTGCAACTGCACACGCCGCCGTCGAGCCGGCCGGGTAGTCGACGCCGTTAAAGTCGATCTCAAAGTACGTGGTCATTGGGAACCTGTCCACAGTTGCAAATATCGACAACGCAGCGGTGGCGGTGAGTTCACAGCGCCGCGTGCAAAAAAACTAAACAAGCCAGCTGCCGCCAGCCAGCGGTCGACGCCGGCTTGCGCTCCCTCCCCCCCTCCCCCTAGCGCGCATCAGCATGCCCAACCATGCTCCCCTGTACCATGTATATACAAGGTAGCATGTTTGGCGGGAGTGTGTGGAGGCCAGTGGCGCGTAAGGGGCTTCACGCGTGCGTGCGCAAGTGCCAAGGACCTTCCACCGAAAACGAGACTTTGGCTCCACCCGTCTCTCCTCGGCAACGTACTTGTACACGCACTCCTTCTTCTCGGTCTGGCACTTGGTGGCACCGGCAAATGAGTCGAACATGCGGATGGGCGGCGTCCAGTCGGCAATGGACGACGGGTCGATCTCCACCTGGCGGAATGTGGGGCAGGCGAGAGCGGCCGCGACAAGGCAAGCCGCGGCCACAACCGTAAGGTGCAACTGCATTGAAGAAGGCAGGCAGACGAGTGTCACTCCGATCCGGATTTTGCTCACGCCCGCGCCCACACGACGCCCGCCCGCCCACCCCCACCTCCCCATCACACTTCTGAGATCATCGAGCGATGTTCAACGACTTTGACTCTCGCGGACGCACATCACGCCCCGACCTGGTGCGCCACCCAAGCGGCAACCTCATCGGCGGTGCTCGGCCGCTCAGATGAGAGGTAGTCGTCAAATTGACAAAGGATTCGCTCGACGAGGATGTCCATCGTCTTGGCTGTTGCTCGCTCGGCCCGCTCTTTGTACAGCGCGTCAAAGAGTGTGAGCAGCGAGCCAACAGTGAACGCCAGGATCGGAGGTCCGTCTCGTGCAAAGGCGGCATAGCTGACAACAGTGTACGGCGGCGGCGCGTGGGGCTCACCGGCAGCAAGGTCGGCCTCCACCTCGGGTGAAACAAGCTTGGACCAGACCGGCTGTGGCGCACACGCCCGGGCCGGATCGTCGAACCGCGAGCCCGGCTCGGCATGCCCAAGCTCGGCGAGTGAGAGAAGGCGCACGTCGGGGTCCGCCGATGCAAGCACCAGCAGGCCACGGATGAAGGCGAGGGCGACACAAGCCCATGGAAAACGGCCACCGCTGATCACCGCCACGGACTCGGCAGGAAACTGTTTGGCCAGCTCGACAAGCACGACGAGTGCGCTTGGCCCAGCTAGCTCGAGCCATTTGACCGGATTGACCGAGCCCATACCAAGCATCTTCCAGCGGATCGAGTGTTGGACGAGGTGCGGCTCCGGGAGCGGCGCCGCAAAGGTGACGGCGGCCCGAGATCTGCTTGCACGGACCGCTGGCAAAGCAGGGCTCTTGTGGGCAAGGCCAAAGAGCGTCACCACTCTCGCGTCTTGGGCCTGGAGCACGTCGTCGGGCACGGGACAGGCCAGAAACTCGGTGTCGCGCTCGGCGGCGCCCAGCGCGGCATCGTATGCAAGGGCAAATGCATCGCATACAGCGGCGTCGAGTGCTGCAAGGTGTGCTACACTCATGCCGTGGCTTGGGTCAAACGGCTCGAGTGCATCAGCGGTAGCATTGACAAAAAGCCGCGCGGACGCCGACTTGGCGTGCCGCAGCGCGCGCAGCTGGGCCTCCAGCACGGCTTCCATCAGCGGATAGTCGGCGAGGTCCACATGCAGAAGCCAAGCGCTCCCGTCGTCAAATTCCAGGCGGCATGGCGTCCCACTGGCGTCCATCCCTGAGACCGAATTGCGCCTACCGCCGCCGCTGTCTGCGACGTCGTCGGCGGCACTCGAGTCCGCGCCCGCAGCGTCGGCCAGCATACTTGGCGGGAGGAAGCGAACAACGCTGACCAGCGACCGTGACTCGATGAGAGTTACGCTTCGCAGCCGGCCAACTAGCGCGTACAGATGCAGCTGCCACGCGCTGTCCAGCTCGAGAATCCGGGCCCGGGCACCGTCAACGAAACCCGCCACGCCCACCACTGCGCCGCGGGTGCGGACAGCATCCACCACCGCCTTTGCCTCGTCGACGTTGAGCATCAGCTCTGGATAGGTATCGTCGTACACTCGCTCCGCCTCGGCATGCGATGTCGCCGCCGCCAAGCGGCCTGCCCACGACGTCGGCACCGCGGCAGCGCCCGTCTCGACCGGCGTCTCGGGAGCCGTCGACGGCGACGCCATGCCGGCCCGTGTCAACTTGCGGCAGGCCTCTGCATAGCTTGCCTCCAGCGCGTCCACTTCGGCCCGTGCCGCCTGCAGCACCGCGTCTGCAGCACCGGCAGCCTCCACCAGCTGTCCGTAGCCAAAGGCCTCGACCCATTCCTCAGGCAGCCCGTTGCAGCCAACCATACTCCCTGCCGTCCCTGCCCGTCTCCTGCCTGTACTCATACCCGCCAAAGCGTAGGCTCCTCGCAGTGCCCCTCTCTCCCCCCCGTGGTGAGGCCAGAGTAGAGTGTGCGTGTGTGTGCTTGTGAGGAAGGGGAGCTGAGGGGGAGGAAGGGGGGGAGGGGGGAAGGGGACACGTGAGGCGCGATCGATCGCGCTTGATCAGGCCCACGCCCCCCTGGTCCCGTTTGCCGAGAGCGTGGCATAGTCCGTGCTCGTGGTCCGCCAGGGCGACTTCCGCGCTGCCACCCAAACGACATTGAGCCTGCAGACCAGGTGAACCGCGAGATGCAGGACCACTACGCTTTTGTCGACCCCTCTTCCATCCGCCCCCAGGATCTCAAGTACAAAGACGATCTCGACGACTAGATGTGGTTCTCAGACTGCCTGCCGCCTC